ACAAGGCCAGCTGTTTGTTTGTTTTAAACCTGGGTTTTTTTTTTTTTTTTTATGTCTGTCACCCATGGGTTACTGCGTGTTGCTCTTTATTTGTTTTGCGATAGCAGCTGATGGCCAGTGGGGTGGAAATGTTTTGAAGGGGAGAAGGAAGCGGGGTGAAAGGAAAAAAAAAACAACAGCAACTGAATATGCTCTGTCTTGATGTAAGAATTGTAGAAGACATACCGTGATTTCTGTGAGGAAGTATGTTATTTTTCAAGTGCAGAAATGTAGACATTCTCTCTAAAAATGCCTTTGCACTTCTTGCAGCAAAGTGTGTGTAGGCTTACGGGTGAGCTAGCTAATGACTCTGGTAGCAGAACCTCTTCCAGCTCGGTGTTGGCCTGGGTCAGTGGTGTTCTGATCTGTTTCCACTGGCCTATTTCATGCTCTCTGAAGATATTTGTATTGCAATTAAAAATGAAATTGCTGTTTCTTACTAGCACCTATGTACTTTTTTAATGTTCAGCCTACCAGAACTCTTTCGCTAAATTAATGCAAGCAGCATGGTTGTTTTCTTTTGGGGGTTTTGTTGCTTTTTTCACTATTCTTAAAGTTATTAAGTTATTATTTTGTTGTTCTAATGGTACTTACTTCTCTGTAACTTTTCTTAACACGATTTCTTGTTGACCTCAATAACATGGTGGAACAGAGGTGGTTTTATAAGCAGTGCATGTTCAGAATAAGCTTAAGGAAAGTGTATGCTTAAAAGTGAAAAGTTCTGGTTATGCAACTTGAGTTACCTCTACAGCTCTGTTCTGCAGGGAGCTTCTAGAGAAGCAGTAAACTGAATTCTGGGCCTGGATTTCCTAGCAATTAAAATAATAGGCATAAAATTGAGATCAGGATTGTGTTCTGTTACCTGCTTGTACTCTTTCCTCCAAGCTTCAAGCTGTAGCAAGGTTTTGAGTTGTTCATTGTGGCTAATGATGAGCAAGTTCCTAACTTTATCTAAATCATTATTTATCCCTCTTGATCCACTCCATCACCGTTAACTTAAAGTGATGGTGCGGTAGTTGTTGCTGCAGTTGCTTCAATACTGTAGTTCTGTAGTACAGTATTATAATCAGAGTCTGCCTCTTGTTGTGCTTAAACATGATTAGTTCCCAGGAATATTCCATTACCTAGGATGATGGGATTTAATGGCTTATCTGCTGCAGGGAACTGACTAGATAAGGAGTTTTATTTCGGAACAGCTTGTGAATATCAAGTTTCACAATAAATAACTTTGCTGTGGCTATTGTTTCACAATAAACTTTTCCAGAGGAGTTACTTGGAAGCATATTTTAGCCTGTATCTCCATGTAGACAAACCCCATAGCAGCTGAGCTTATAGTGGTTACAGAAGAACTTATGAAACTGCACATGTTCTGTATGTGTGTGACCCATGAGGTATTCTGCTCTTTCATTAAGAGAATGAATATAGCAGCTCCAGAGCTGCAATTGCAATTCCTCTGTTGGAGTAGTGTCCTGTTTCTTATATGTCTTAACTTGATGTCTGTCTTTGCAACTTGGAGGCACTGTTTCATATTTTTCGGTGAGAGCTGTAATACTGAGTTGAGCACACCAATCCCTGCCTAGACGTTTAGCTGTTCTGCCCCTTCAAACTGTCTTTCTGTTAATGGCAAAATTGTTTTGCTTCTTGTTATTGTTTACTTCCACTGATAATGAAACTGAAATGTAGCTGAGCTGTTTACAAAGCAATTGTACTTTACTGGAAGTCATAAAGCCGTCCAGGACTTAGTTAACTGTTTCTCTGACGGTCAGGCTATTGCTACTTCAGAAAGCAGATGGGAAATACCTTTTCTCTGCATAGTTGACTCTTAAAATTTGCTGGAAGCTTTAGAATGCTATTTTCTGCACCAGGCAAAGGTTTGATACTTAACCATCACACTCTCTCTTTTACAAGGTCATGTGGATCGTAAGAGGTGTCCTGCTGCTGGAAGAAAATTACCCCTTCAAAAAGTGTTATGGGGGAAGAATGAACTTCTCCTGAGCACAGTTGCTTCTCAGATTCAGATACATGCTTTTTTTAATGGCTTGGTTGCGTGTAATACAATTTTGAACACCCTTGATGATTGTCATAGTTTTAACTTGGACAATGAAATTTAAGGGTGTTTTTTTTTTTTTTTTTAATAAAGGGCTAAACAACGTGCTGAAGGCTGTCATCTAGTCTGCACAAACTTTTTCCTAAACTTTTCTATGTAGAAAGGCGACTTATTATCTAGGCTTCTGAGCTTCTGGTGTGGGTGGGTTCTCTCAGTATCAAATATCTGAACACCTTTCAGGTATCGGTCATCTTCAAATGCAAAATTGT